TGGCCGCTATGGGGCCAGACACCGAGCGCCAGCGGCGCTGAGGCGGAAGAGCGACGAGCCGTGCCCGATGGTGCCCCCACGCCTTGCGCACCCCTTGCCGTTGTCCAGGGGACAGGGCATGCCATACACCAGCAATAGCGGATAACTGTTCAGTACGCAGCCGATATTCAGGATCCTGGCTCAGGGGGTTCATCAGGCTGAGGACGGTCGAGGTACGTGCACCTTGACTCCAGTATCCTGAACACTTAGCGGCCTGCGATCGGAAACTCTGCAGATCGGCCACGGTCAAACCTAACACTGAATGACCCCACGATCCGACGCTGAGCACACCAGGTTTAAAGATCTTGCGGGATCGACCGCACAGGCGAGCGAGATAGGCCAGCTTACGAGAGCGCTTGAAAGCAGTCCGCCGGCGCAGCTTGATCTTCCATGCGCATCTCCTCCTCCCCGCTGTGGTCATGACCCCCAGATCCTCCACCTGCCCTTTGAATGAGATAGAGACACCCAATTCATCAAACTGAGCGGACAACTCCTTGGCCAGAGCAGTGGACGATGCAACTGCAGCAGACTTAGGCGAGATTAAACAGCCAAGTGTACCCACATCTCGGCAGAACTGAGCGGCTGCAGCAGGCAGAGCAGAGACAATATATTTGCGCGTGCCTTGCATGTACTGCGTAATGTCATCAATGTATGATCGAATCGGCACCACTGGGAGACGACTGTGTGCACGCTCGAGCACTCCATGCAGATATGTCTTGACCCACGGAACCGACTGCGAACATCCAGCGAGAATCGACTTGCCCGTGCCAATGACGTTCGAGACCACCCCCTCCACCTCGAGCAATCTAGGGCTAGTGTGCACAAGCATGCCGAAGTAGAGGAGGTGAGGGGGATAGTCAACCTTCAGAGCCAGCTGCGCCAAGAGGGCGGGCACACCGGAGTCAAACAACTTCTCCATGTCCCAATGCAGGGAGGCCGACTCAAACTTCAGAGCACCCGCAACTTCGTGGCACACTTCGCGCAGAAGCGCTGCTTGCAACGCTGAGGACTTACGCACTGCACTATCCCAGAAGTCCGTGTGCTCCGCCGTCCATTCATGGATGTGATCACCACGCATACGTGCATACATGCGGTACATAGTGGAACACTTGCTGATCGCGCGCTCGTCGTGCACAGACTTGGGAAGCAGAGCCATGATATTCAAGAAACACTGCTGCGGAAAGGTCAGGGCCTGCTCGCACAGATTGAACAAGGCTGCCAGACACTGGGCCGCTTGCCACGGCAACTGCAGGAAAGCCCTGGGAGACCATTGGTCGACGCCTACAGCAGTGCCACTAGCAAAACACGTCGCCGCCTGCAAGACGTCCCGAGGCTCAAACTCTGGCAACTCCAGGAGGCAGGTCTGGGCACGGGACCTGAGCTCACCGAGGGTATCATTGAGAACCTGCAAATGCTCCTTCGTGGGGGTCCACCAGCGAGCCCAGAAATCTTTCCTATACTTCATCATGTCGTTGGGGGTTTGTCGGATGCCGTCGGGCGCGACCAGGTACTCCACCGCCGCCTTATCATCACTCTTCAACCAATTATGAACCTTCCTCGCTCCTCCTGGTAACGCATCCTTCAACCACTTCCTGATTCCAGCAGAATTAGAAGCCTTAACCTTGCCCCAGGCGGGCTTACAGACCTCGGCGGCCTTATCCACCAACCTGTGCACGAGATCAGGCGAGTCGGGGAGGCTGGCGAGGTCAGCCATCCAGTCGCTAGCATCAGCAGGGGAAACGAGAGGCTCAATATTCAGGTAAACGTAGTTTGCCTGCCCAGCGAGAAAGGAAGCCAAACGCCTAGCCTGCGCCAAGGTAGCCTTCCCACTGAGAGCTTTCCACAGTCCGAACAGCCGAGAGTACACCATGGACCAGAAACAGAGGTGCGGAACATTGAAGGCCTGCTTGTTGGGCCCACGCCTCCGAATCGTGCCCGAAAACCTGGAGACAGCACTACCCCGTCCCAGACGCCGATCAGGTTCGTCAACCACCGCACATCCCCGAGACAGGAAAATCATTTCCGAGGTCCTCGACCACAAGGCGTAGTCCTCCGAAAGCCCGTCAGAAACATGCTGCAGGGTATGCTCTAGGGTAGCTTCCTTGACACCAGGAGGTGTGTGCCAGTCAAACCCACTTGCACAGGCCATATTCAAATAGTACGGCCACAGATGGTCAGGCCCAGCGGCAGCAGGAAGCGCGCCAACCCGACCTCTACGTTGGACCACTTGCTCTAAAACATTCTCGTCTGCCGTGACATGCAGGCATGCGTGCGTTTTGAACGGGGACTCCAACAACGTCCGAACCTTCACGAAAGGGGCCACATCCCTGGAACACACAGCGTAGTCAATCATAGTCATACCCACGTCACACGTGTAATCAACATCGCCAGGAACACGAACCCTAGACCAGGTGATCTCCAGAAAACCCGACTCCATCAACAGATCAGGCGACATATTGAAATCACCGAGCAGGACCCAGGGAACACCCAAGGTGGTAGTGAATTCCGCGATTTCTCTCAGTCGAGACAGATTCTCGCCCGTCGCCCCAATGGACGACACCAGATACACAACGCCAATCGCCATGGAAATCCCGTGAAGCCTGAACTCCAGGAAGAACCAGCACGTGCCCGAACCAACATTCACAGCCTGGAGCCCAGAGAGAAAACGCTGGCAGGACAGACCCTTTTGACAGAAAGCTGCAACGCCCCCACGAGTGCCACCTCCTGGAGAGTCGAGAGCAGCCTGGAAGAACGGGTTCCAACCTATTACTCTTGCATCCTTCTTGGCCTTGTGAACACCATCTTGCCGAAGGTGGTGTTCAGCGATGAACATGGCGTCCATCTCAGATATCCTGGAAGAGAGGAAACCTTTGGTGACGTCAGACCAGCTGGTAACGTTGCAAAACCTGATCTCGATGCCATCCTGCTTGCCACGTCGGCGCCTCGGACGCGGCGGGGCCGCCTCGCTAAAGGCGGGGCGGGGCTTCGCCGTGCGCTGCTGCGGCCGCAGGCTGCGGCGGCTGCCCTCCAGGCGCCGCCGCTGCCGCTGGCTGCTGCTGCTGCGCGGCAGGCTCCGCTGCTGCCGCGGGTGCCTGCCCTCCTGGCGCTGGCTGGCTGCCAGCAAAAGTGAGCTGGGAGGCTGCCGCCGAACAGAACAGAGAGAAAGTGGCAGAGGATTGATCACGAATAGCCTTCTTGGCGCGCTTGCCTGCCCGAACGCGGGCGGCCTTGCTGAGCAGGACTCCGTAGCGTTCAGAGGCTTCAGGAGTGAGTCCGTGCTCAGCTGCACGCTTGCGCAGGGCTGCCAGCTCATTGAAGACAGGAGAATCAGGATCCTCAGTGCCGGCCTCGCTCTGCGCCTCTTCACCCATGTCGAAATCGACCTCGGCGCTGCGCTGCTGGATGGCCACCTTGCGCATCTCGATCCACTGGTCGGGCGAGAGGTGCGACCGCTGGTGGAACCGCTGCAGCTCGGCTTCCGAGAGTTCATGTACATGGTCCTGGACCCACTGGAAGTCAACTTGCCCGCTCTCTGTGATGCCAGGCAGTTGCGTACCTGGAGGACCGTCAGGAGGTACACCGTGTTGACCAGCTGCCGCAGGGAACACGCCAGCGCCTGGAACACCCTGTACACCAGGTTGGCAGCCTGCAACACCAGGTTGAACTCCTCCAGCATCTGCGTCATTGCCCACGCCCTTGGCTGCACGAGCGACTGCGCGGGCATGCTCAGCGGCTGCCTGCTGCGCCGCTGCTGCCGCTTGTTGCTCAGCACGTTGCAGCTCGAGGCGATAGGCATCAGCCTTGAAATTATCCTTCTCATGGTTGGCACGGCGAAGTGAGTCCGCGGCCTCTTGCAGCTCCGACTCCTTCTCCGCGTGCTTCGACTCCGCATTGAACAGAACGTCACGAGCGCGCACCACGGCCTGGCGACGTTGTTCCACATCCGCTTGCAGTACCCGTTCCTTGCGACTGGCCATCTCCACCGCCTTCGAAAGCACGGTGCGCTTGGCGGCGACCTGCTTCTCGATGTCATTGTCCGTGGCAGGGACGTACGCCTCTGGAGGCGGCGGCGGAGCGACTGCTTGGAGCTGCCCAAGCGCAGCCGCGTAGGTGGGGTACTTGGCCGCCAACGCGTTGAGGTCAGCAGCGAAATCAACTTGAGCAGCAGCAGGAGCAGGAGGGTGCGTGCCAGCGCCATCGTCGACATACGCGCCTCCGCACTTGCTGCATTCCGTGTTCCCGAAGCGATCGTACTCCCAGTGGCCGCACTTGGAGCACACCGAGTAGTGGCCGCTGCCGTAGCGGCCTCCACGACCGTCGCGACGGCCACGCCACCAGGGAGCATTGCGGCGCCACGCCATGGGCACAAGGCTTGGCACACAAAGGCCGTGAGTGTAGAAACTTGCCAGGTCTCAAGAGACCTTGCCACGCTCGGACTAGAGCGATCCAGTCTTGCCAATGCGGGCTCAGCCCGCCAAAGCATCAGCCTTGAGCCAAAATGGCTACGGGGGGAGTAGGAGGAGGAGGAGGAGGAGGAGGAGGAGGAGGAGGTGGAGGAGGAGGTGGAGGAGGAGGGGCAGGAGGAGGAGGGGCGGGGGGGTCGAGGAGGAAAAGGACGAGCTTTATTCCCAACCGGCAACTTGTCAATGTGTGTGGGGGGTCGCTCACATTAAAGAACCTCTGCAATTACGCGACGCCCGACAACAAAGCGGAAACACAGAATCGGTAATACAACGGCCTTGCCGTTCCCAAACCCCCGACGTCACGACTTTTCGTGACGCGACTCCTCGAGGTCGGGACCCATTCCCCAGGACCGGTTTTTCATCCTGAGTTGTTATTTCACGGTTCCAAGGCCCGGCAAGGGCCCACAGAGGCCAGAGATAGTAAAACACCTCCCGTCGTGATCTTTTCACAGCGCGAGGGGGTCTGGGTTCCCGAGGCCCGCTGTGGCCAGGAGGTCTGGAGGGAGGTCCGAAGAGCCGGGAGCCGAGCGCCGTGGTCTCTACGCCGCGAAGCCGCCTCGCCGCGCTCTCGGCTCTCAGGGCGTCGCCAGCGCCCACGAGCGCCCCGTGGAGGGCGTCGTCGACACGGCGGCCCCGCGCCGCAGGGGCGTGACGGGCTCCACCTCGGGCGCCTGCGCTTCCGCCGCCGCCGCCGCCACCGTCGTCGCGGCCGCCGCCGCCGCCGTCGCCGCAGCCGTTGTCGCTTTCGCCGTCGTTGCGTCGGCGTCGGCGTCGGCGCCGCCGCCGCCACCGCCGCCGCCGCCGCCGCCCCCGCCGCCAGCGTCGTCGTCGTCGTCGGGCGCCTCCGTCGCCGCGCCCAGCTCCAGCAAGGTCGGCCCGTTCGGGACGACGCGGGAAGCCATGGCCCGTATGCGCTCGGGGTTGCCCTGCGCTGGCGGAGGCGGAAGCGGGGGCACGGCGAGGGTTTGCGGCCTTCCGGAGGCTTCGGGGGCCTCTCGGAAGGGCCCCGCCCCTTCTGATAGAGGTTTCCGGGATTCTTGTTTTGTTTTCCGAAGGCGAGAGGGCCACCACAGGAGACAAGAAACAAGAATCCGCATGACCGCCAGCCTTCGGAGGTCCGCGCGGATATCGTGGACCGGCGCTGAACCCCAGCAGCCGGAGGAGGAGGAGGAGGAGGAGGAGGAGGAGGAGGAGGAGGAGGAGGAGGAGGAGGAGGAGGGGGAGGAGGAGCGCGCGGAGCGCGCCGGCGAGGGCGCCAGAGGGGCCCAAACGCCGATGCAAGAACTCCGCGCAGACCTCCGACACTCTCTGCTCGTGCCGATGCTCCTCGGTCGCCCAACTTCGCGCACCGCGCCCCGCGATGTGCGTCGCGCGGCTATCGCAGGCGGTACGCTGTGGGCCGGCACAGGCTGCGCGATGCCGATGGAGCTGAACGGGCTAAGCACACCGTGGGCCAACACACGTCCTGAGGATCATTGACACGACTAAAAGGTGGAGAGTGCCCTCTCAGAAGGGCCGTCCCCGAGGCCCCGCCCCTCCCCCGATTTGCGCGATCCGCCCGGCCTTGAGCGACTCGAGCAGCGGGTGGAGCTCCAGGAGCCCGGGGCTCTTGGGAGTGGCCGGGTTGCGTTCCTGGAGGAACAGCGAATGAACTCAGGCAGAAAAGCTGTCGGAGCTCCGCGAGGCTTTCCTGGATCGGCGCTGGACCCCCTCCCTGGCTCGCGGAGAGCGAAAGGGGCGGCGCCAGAGGCCCCATGGAGGGGCCGCGCGCCGATCCAGTTGACTCCGCGCGGACCTCCAATCGTTTATTGTTTCACTAGAGCGTTGTGGGTGCCTCTCATTCGGCGGCGAGCGAGGGGGGGAAATGAGAAGGAGAAGGCCTTCTCAGAGGGCGGCGGGACTTATCAGAAGCTTTCGCGCCTTCTGACAAGTTTTTTGACTTCGGGAAGGCTTAGAAAACTTATCGGAAGGCCGGGGGGCTTCCGAACCTTCTGAGGCCTTCTCCTTCTAACTTCCCCCCCTCACTCGCCGCCGAGTTGTGGGTCCCCCCCCATTGATCCGGAGGGCCCGTCACATGAACGGGCAACACACATTCTCTCACTCACACACACACACCCACACCCACACCCACACCCACACCCACACCCACACCCACACCCACACCCACACCCACACACCCACACACCCACACACCCACAAACACCCACAAACACCCACACCC